AGTGATTTCAAATCCATAACTTTTCTCATTAACTTTTTGTTCATTTATTTTAATCGCTGATTATAGTATCAAACTTTAATATGTTTGATTTTCAAATAGGATTAAAATAAAATAAAACTATTACTAACAATAAATATTCACTTCTGAAATGTGATAAATATCATGTCAATGAAGAATAACTTTCCGTGGTTGCATCAAATTAAAGCGACTAGCACTACATAATGCCGTGGACCTGACATCATCAAAAATTAGTGTAGTGATGTCATCTTTAGGATTTTGATTGTACTAAATATATTTTGATAGCAATATTATATTAAAAAATATATGTAATTTTTTTTGCTCCTGAATTCAGTAACGTTTTGCACGATTTTGAAATTCATTTGCAGTTAAAATAAAATCTTTTTTCGTATCCTTTTCTTTTTCAAAAAATAGAGAAATATTTTTAGCTTTGCGCAATGAGTATTTTATGATAATGACAAATTTAAAAAAAATTATTTTTTATCTTAGCCTAACCAACTACATTTATTCGCGATCGCAACGCTCGAGTACGCCGTCTAGCGGGAGCCTGTAAATATCGGACATTAATTTATCACGTTTTCATTTAGTTCCATCAAANTATAGTTCGTTGCGATCGCGAATTAGGGGCAAACTATTTTTTTCTACTTTTAAATTTTTACAAAAAAAAAAAAAAAATTTCAAAGTTTTTTTTATTATAAGAATATTTAAATTAGAAATTTCATTAAATATGCATGTATTTTTATAATTATCCAGTAGTAAGTCGCTAGAAGTGATCACTTCTTGATCACTATTGATCGATCAATATAATTTTACTCTGAATATTTTAAAAAGTTAAGCATTTTTAAAGTACGTTATTCTTTTGGTTTAGTTCGAATACATAAAAGAAACTTTATGTTTAGATTTTTATTAAAAAAAAGCTTTCCAATATACTTTGCGTTTTCAAGAAGAAAGGTAATGCTCTTTTTTTCTATGTTGTTAACAAAATCAGAGCAGTCGTTGAAAAAATAGGTAGAGAAATTTCTTCGGTTGTGACGCTTAGTTAAGGAAAAAAACTTAAAATAATAATTCCAGCACATTTTAATCTAAATTTAGAATTCAAATGCCAGGTGTGAATATTCAATGTGAGAACCCGATTTATTTTGAATAGTAAATTAAGAAGGAGAATTTAGATAAAGAAATAACATAAAAAGATTGAACCCAAAGTAAATAAATCAAAATGAATATGGGGGAATCTAGAATCATAATAATTTTTTTCATGATATTGTTTTGTTCTTTCAACAGCAATTTTTCTGACTAAGAGCGTGCAAATGGGACTGTGGAAAAAAACATATGTTTATAATAATAATTAATATGAAACATATGTATTTAATATTAAGTAAACTGGTGGAAATTTAGTTACTTTTATTTCTATGAAAATCCAGAAGTATTGATTAAATAATAATAATCTAACACAATTCTCTTCAGGAGAGATAATTTAATGTATCAATTTATAAAAGTTATTAGTCCCGCAGTGAACTGATCGTTAAGACACGGTTCCCAGCAATTCACCGAAGTCAAGCATCACTGGCTACGGTCAGTGTGTGGGTGGATGACCACTTTGGTCAGCCTGCGTAGGGATCGAGGGTGAGCGGTATCGGTCCTGGTTAAACTGTTCTACCGTAAAGTGCTCGATTTCGCGTGCAGGTCGTCGGGCTACCGAAGCCCTCTGCAGAGGATCAAAATTGCGACGGCATGTCTTCAGATCATCCTCAGTGATGTTTCCCAGACCGTCGCCAATAGCCCATTGCGCAGCTCTAGTGCGACATAAATGAACAACAACAACAACAATATAAAAGTTGTGGCTGGTCCGTTTTCAGATGCCACCATTCGATCATTGGATTCCGTTGAGTAAGGTTGTTTTAAAATCGAGCTCCTGCTACCATGTCAACGTACCGATTCGGCCGCGGTGGGAAGGTCTTCCGACCCAACCGTGCACCGGAAACTCCTATTGACATCGATGCGCTCAGGAAAGAGTCGAAGGAGTATATCACCGACAACATGCAAAGGATTTTGCGTGACTTCGACCAAGAGTTCGAGGATATCAAATCGTGTACTGCAAACATCGATGCTACGATTAACAGCTTACGCGACAAGGCGACAAAAGAAAACTGCTACAGACTGAAGTTTCGTTACGAGGAAATGCGGATCTTAAAAGCATCTCGAGACGCCCAGAAAGCCTCAACTCCCACCAATCCTGACCCTGAAACGGAAACTTCAAAGCCTGAGATATCTCCAAAAACCGAAGTCTGCATAGAACCAGCAGTTTCTCAGACAACAACTTCAGATGATTCTCCAACAATCCCAGATGAGCAACCCCCAGTGGAAGCTACTGACAACATCGAAAAGCCAATCTCGAATACCATCCCAGAGACTGACTCCACCACTTCAAAACCTAGCAAAAAGAAGAAAAAAAGAAAGAAGTGCAGTGTCAACACGGCGACACAGAAATGCACGGAACTAGAATCAGATAGCGAACCCCCTCGCCCGGAGAAAAAGATCGCCTCCACACCCACAGTGGAAGTTTCATCAGATCCTATCAGTACTGCAGCCCCGGTTATCATCGAGACTCCAGTAGAAGAAAGCGAGCCGATAGAAGTTCTACAACCCACCCGTAGAAATTTGAAAGCCCTCGTCCGAGGTCTTAGCACAGACATCGAAATCTCCGATCTCGAAAAGGAACTCGCAGACTTAGAGCTACGGCTAATCAAAACCGAACAGATGAGGAAGAGGCGTGGCCAAGACTACAAGCTCCTCCCACTCTACCTGCTTATCCTGCCCGATGATCCTAAGCACCGGGAATTCTTCAGAATCAACCGATTGCTGAACACACCAGTCAGAGTCGAAAGATTTCGTGGCGGACGGCACGAAGTTCAGTGCTATAGGTGTCAAGGCTTCGGCCACACACAGAGCAAATGCACCGATGAGCCGGCGTGTATGAAATGCGCTGGTGCGCATTACACCTACAAATGCACGAAACCCCTGAACGAGCCACCATCATGCGTGAACTGCAAGAATGACCACCCAGCCTGTTTCACAGGTTGCCCAGCCAGGCCAAAGAGAAAGCTCGCTCCCAGGAGGAAACAACAACATCGAACTCCTGCCAACCCAGTAGCCAGATTTACTCAATGAAAGATGCGGAATTAGTTTCCCTAATCCAGTCCCTCCTCCCACCAACCAAGACATAGACGGGTCTCTATCTTTTAAGGAATTGGTAACTAATTTTAAACCATAGTTTCTACTACAGAATGGCAACAAGGAAATGATAACGTCGGATCAATGGGCTTTTCGCATTGTGATTGGCTGTTGACTATCACTCATGGTTGCAAGAATTTGGGAAGTTATCGCGTTTATTGTGAATTAAAATAAAAATTTCAATAATTTTGTGCACGCCTGTCTGTGTTCTCGCGTAATCTCGTACTTGGTGTGATGAAACAATTGGTTCATTGATGGATTGTGTTTACATTTATTTCGTAAACAGCCACTGGAAAAGAGGAGATTTGTGTTTAAAAAAGAAATTAGGCGAAAATGTTTTCGAATTTTTAGATATTTATAAATGTAACAATAAAANTAGTTTCCCTGATCCAGTCCCTCCTCCCACCAACCAAGACTTAGATGAGGAGATACTACCAATGATGACGACCACAGATCTTCATCTGTGGAATTACTACTATTTGTTAAAGCCAACAGTCACCGTCGCCCTAGGGCCCATTTTCGATGAAGAAGTGAGGTGCCCGCATCCGCGGGCAGGTACTTCGTCAAACCACCTATCCAAGTCCAAACCATGGTTGTCAACTTAATTTTTTTCAAATACAACGTATTTGTTTGCTAAAAATTGAAGTTTTAATTCCATTTTAATACCACTGGGAAAAATGATAATGGAAGGGATTAAAAGTTGGCACGTCTGTACGCCCCAAGCATGGCCTGGGAGTTGTTTTATAATATTCGTATTCACTTTGGAATTGAAATTTTAATTCATCAAACTTCAGATCTATTTATATTTATTTAAAATTATTTGCAACCTTTGGCAGAAAAAGAATATTTTTTATCTCCATATTACTACCACTATTCACATTTCCAGGTGCGTTGAAAATTCAAAATCGTCATTGTTAATTTCAACATGACAGTAAGCCTATTAATTTTCATGGATGCTTCTAAGATAAATTCTAAAATACAGTAACATTAAAAGGCCGTAAACCTCTCGATTCTAATGGAAATAAACATTCCACAAGAGCTCTTTGTTAACTTCCTACCGTTGAACTTAACTAATTTTTAAAATTGCATTTCGGTCACTTAAATATCGGGTTGAAAGGGCTAATCTAAATCAATAACAAGACCTTTTTTATGCTTTCATTGAATTAAAAAGACAAGCTGTTGCTAGAAAAAAATTGAATAAAAATAGTTATATACACCTTAATATATACACTTTAATCTACAATAAATTAATAGATACTATGCAACAAATTACCTACACCTTTTCATTTTGCATTTCTTGTTTTAAAAATACTTGAAGTTGGAATAATTTTATTAGGAGAATGCAATATCTATTGTAAATAAATTAAGCGTTAATAGCTTGTGTCATTTCTTCACTGAAAACTAATGATTCAATATTTAGAAAATTTAAAAAAAAAAAAGACCTGCTTGAAAAATGCAACATTGGTATTTAAATTGTTAAAATACTCACTGACCTGTTTTCAGATCAAATTACAGATATTTCAGATCAAAATATAAATTATGGTGATTAGGAATGCTTGATTTTTCCACGATAAATTTCAAAAAAAAAAAAAAAATAGTGAAATTATCAATCTTAATCATTTATAAAAACGATTTGCTTTGAGTTGTTTTATGGCAATTTCAAATTCACTCTACATTTCTTTTTAAACTTTAAAATAAAACTTAATAAATTTACTCGATTTTTTTGTTGTTCTTATCTTTCTTAAAACTAAAGTAGTCTATGTGTGTTATTTTTTGTATAATAATCTTTCATAAAACTTCAAAACTATACATACACCACTTTCAGTCACTTTTCCTACATAAGCAGGAGCTAGGAAACCGGAAAAATTAGCAATGCAGTTTGTAATGCCCATCAATGTGCCTGTAATATTTAAAAATTCATTTATTTAACATTTTTCTTACCAAAACTTTTCATAAAATGAAACAAAATTATAAAGCATAAAGAATAACAAATTTCCCTGTTTTAGAAAAATTTAATTTTACATATTTGATTCTGAGTTAAATAAATGCGAAGAAAAAATTATTTTTTCCCCTACAAAAAGTTATTTCAAGCTACATTGCTCAAAAAATAATCGGATCACCTTGAATAACGTTTGATCTAATAATCGAATCTTCAGGTTGTTGGACTCAAACTTAAGAGGCAGCCTCAAATAGGCTAATTTATTAGTTTAGACGTTATTTTAAATTACAGAAACAGATACAAAAATGTACTTTCTCTGAATAATCATACTTTTTTCAAAGTATTCAAATTTCTGACCCCCAAAGTAAAAGGGGTTTCCGCAATCTGGGAAATTCAGTTTGGTCAGGAGAGCTATCCAAAATTTGGATTTCGCAATGTAATTCTTATTTATTTATTTGTTTATTTTTTTGAGAATTTCATCATATTTAAAAAAATTTCTACGCGAATTCAAAATGTTTTGCGCGCAATTATAAAATTTGTTATTTCTTCGTAATACAGAATTCACAGTTTATCTACTGTTAGGTAACTTTAAGAACTTTTAGATTTTTCAAACTCCAGTTATCAAGTTTGAATATACTCAACAATATATACTCAACAATATATAGTATTCAAGATATATAGTTTGAATAACTCAACAATATATAGTATTCAAGTTTTAATTCACTCAACTTTTAAAGTACTGGAGTTATTTGACTGATGCTAATACATGCGGCAACACTTTCCTAAATGATATTAGAAAATGTTTTTGCCATTTTGTTGCCTTTCAAAATGTTGACGACTTCCCGGTTTAAAATTTTAAATGATTTTACATTTTCAGAAACTGCAATCTTTCTGAAAAGTTTTGCTTTTGTTATAGAGGATGCAGCGACCAATACATTCACCTACCATGCAGTTCATAAGACTGTTCTATATTCAGTCGCGCTGCAACAAGTATAGATTGAAAAATAATCTACGCAGGGCATTATCAAATTCTAACACAGACATTTAATGAATGACGTCTTGACGATTTTTAATTTTTACCTGAGAATTCAGGGCTCATATCGACGTGAGTGACATTGAATCCAGAATACATGAATCCATTGACTCCCAGGGCCACAGTGAGTAAAAAGAGTATTGGTAGTGGATCACAGCCAAAAAATATAATTGATAGCAGGCAGATAGAAGCACCAAAGAACGCTATGAAATAGAAGGAAAAATATCAACATGAGTTTCACTGCTGAAAATTTTTATAATTTGAAGCTTATAGTTCAAAGTTTATGTTTTAAAGTTTATAATTTAAGGTTCATAGTTCAAGGTTTAAAGTTTAAAGTTTATAGTATAAAGTCATAGTTTAAAGTTTATAGTTAGAACGTAAAAGAGAACAAAAAATTTTAGTATTCATTTCCAATATTTCTAGTAGAAGTCAAAATCAAGTCTGTCAAACGTTAAAAAATCTTTGGAAATGAATTCATTATTTATTGATTGAATACAATTACTTTTTGATATCACTAGGAAGCTCCGTCCCCTGCCAATACCTCCTAGAAAAGAGAAGGCCTTAGCACGGGTTACCATAAACAAGAAATTTGATCCTTTAGTAGCCCAAACGTAATGACATCTTTCGTATTTTCCACCACTGCGCAACTTAGTAGCACAAACGTAGTGACATATTTCTTCTTTTTCATCGACTGCGCAGTTTATGTTCGTCCGTGCTGAGGCCTTCGTTCTTCTAGGAGGAGAACTTTGCCCCTGCTCGCTTCGCATACCAACCGCCATAATTCTCTAGATTGTTTTTTTATCAGTTAGAAGTCAATCCGCAATAACAAAGAACATTTTGTTAACAGAACATGCATTTATTGTAGTCTTATGTAAGAACATTTTGCCAATGTGTTAATTGCAAATAATAAACACTTACGTGGTATTGAAAATTTATCATCTGTACTTAAAGAAAATTATAACATAAGAAATAAAAATTGTATGACGCAATCAGAAGAACTAAATGAGAAGTTATTTTGCTCGTAAACAACACCTATAACACCGCAAATAGAAAGCGGCATTAAGATTTCTTTTATTTTTAAAAGTTTCAGTATAAATGCTAAGACTCTGGTAACATCAAATCGCTTTCTCTCTAACTCTCTTTTGTTAATTTCGATATCAAGCTCACGCTCATAAAATAATGAGCTTGATTTATATGATCTCGATAAATTTTTATTAAATAATTAATAAGGAATAATTTTTTTTATGATGTTTAATACCAAAGAAAGGAACCAAGAAAATATTCACAACACTTGCACTTAGAAGTTCAATAACTTTCTAACAAATTATAATTATGAAAAAAAAGTAGCCATGTTAAACTCATACACCGAAATGTTATTGCAATACTGCGGTCTGTAGAGTGGCCCGCATGGTATTTTTTTACAAAAGTTTAACACTTATTAATTCTGGAACTAACAATCGAATATTTTTTTTTATTTCATCGTAAACGAGCAAAGTTTTGTACACTTCTTTGTTCTTTTAATTTGCTAAGTTTAATAGTTTTTGAGAAGCAGAACGTAACATATAATTGAATGCCCAAAACAGAGTTAGAAAAAATTAGAAGCGAAATTTTTTAAAGGACTATCTTTTCCTTTAGCTTCAACCGTTATTAGTAAGATAAAATTTCAATCCTGCCAATGAGGTGAACCAGGTTAGAATCCCAGCGATAGCTGGTCGATACGAATTCCGCACTCGAACCGACCACAGTGGTAGACGGATCATGGGTTAGAGTTCCCTTGCCTTCAGATTAACTGTGGGAGGTTTTCGTGGTTTTCCTCTCCATGTAGAGCTAATTAAGGTTAGTTCCATAAAAAATTCATTTACGAAGGTAAAATTCTCCCAATACTTAATCTAGGAGTTCCCTTGTCTTCTAGATTGGGTTCAAAATTGCAAGGCTATGGAGTTGAACATTAGCAGTCGGAAACCCAAAAATTGGGTTTGCTTTTCAGAACGGTTATAAAATAAATTAAAACCTCCTCCGTTTAAAATTTTAAAATTGAGCGTGTTTTTTTTAAATTACGGCTATTGTAGATATAAAATACTAAAATTGAGTGTGTTTTTTTAAATTATAGCTATTATTCTTCCAAAAAAAATTTAACCGCGTTTTTAATACAGTTGTTAAATTAAAAAATTAACTGTGTTTTTTAAAATTAAAATTTTTTTAAATTGTTGTTTGCAAAGAATAGGAATGTTTTACAGTAAAACATTGTTTGAATTAAACTTACCAACGGAGTTCATTATCTTCCGAATGAACGTAATTTTGTAGTATCCTTTCCTCCTCATGCTGTCAGCAAAGAAACTAGCAAGAACGCCTATCAATGCATGGGATACATAGGGAAGGGAAGATAAAATTCCATTCTGAAAATAAACAATAAATTATTGAAAAAAATCACCATATTTCGTTTTTAGTTCGATCATTAAATATAAGAAACTGAAACAAAACACATTATTTAAGCTTTACTACTTTATGTTACCGTATGACAGTCAGGAGGAACTTAACTGAAAATATTACAAAACCACTAGAAATATAAGGGGAGGTTTATAACCGTACCCAATTTTAGGTTAACGACTACTAATGTTCAACTCTGTTGCCTTGTAATTCTGAATCCAATCCAGTAGACAAGGTTACTCCTGGATCAAGTATAGGGACAAAATTTACCTTCGTGGAGTACTTTTAGTGGGAAATAACCCGAAAATTCGTTACATGAAGGGGAAAACTTCGAAAACCACCCTTGGTTAGCCTGATGGCAAGGGGACTCTAACCCATGATCCGTCTACTACTGAAGATGTTTAACGTCAGCACTGTTGATGGTGCGAGCCGGGTGCGGAAGCTATCGCTGCGACCGATTCGCCTGAATTGGTGGCATACGCCCTATTTTAAAAGTTTTGCAAATTGTTTATGATGGACAACAATTTAGGTGTTAATGTATATTTCCTTTGAAAGTTTTTTTTCAATACTGGTGTAGTCGTTTAAAGCATCCTCCATATGGTGGAGAGCTGGAGGTCGTGAGTTCGATCCTGTAAGTTGTTAAAACAACCGGCATGCTTACGGTACAAGATGTGCATTAATCTGTCTTAGATGAAAGTCCTCTCTTTGTTTGGGGATGTGGTGGAGGGTTCGGAGGAAGTGGTAACAGCTCGGGCTCTGTCCAGGTCATCTGATTATGTTAGGTCTAAATTATGGAAAATTTCTTACTATGGTCATCAAAAACTAGTAGCCTGGTAGCTGGGTGATGTATGTTCATCCTAATAGGCGTTAGTTTTATAATTCTATGAAATATCATTGAGCCCAAATATATTTTTACAACTTTGATTTTCCAAGATATACGACGCAATTCATGTGAAGAAAATTTTTATTTTACCATAGTATTTTCATCAAATATTTTAGAAAATTTTCAATGCCTATAATATTTAAATTGTTATTATGAACTGGTGAAATGTTTTAATGGATCCATTATGGGCTACTTTTCACTACTTCTCTGTATCAGAATTAATTTATTTGTTTAATTTTGAAGTCTTTTTAAATTCCTTGCCAAGGATTTAAGTTACGAAAAGAAATAGTTAAAGTTAAATTGCGGGTTTGCTCAATACAAAGTTGGTTTACAAGCCATTGTCAAGTTGAACAGTCAGCTCAAATTAGAGATCCAATCTTGCCGTAACCCTGGCAGTATTGAATCCGCTAACTTCCAGTCTACATAGCTTCTGACTACTTGGAGAAACAGCTCATTTAATGAAGCCTCCTCATCAGAGAAATTATTAATTCAGTCAAAATAAATATAGTAACATACGGTGGTAACATGTGGAGGGAAACATTCCATTAACCAAGAATCTAGCATGACTCTAATTTATGGATTCTAATAATTTATAATAGCATTTCATATGATTTAGTTATAATAGCGTAATAGCAGTGGAAGAAAATCTTTCCTTACAAAATGACTTCTCTGGTGAAATGATAAATGCAGGATCCCAACTTCTACGCTTTTTGGGAAAATTTCTCAATAGTAACTATTTGTTGCGATGTATGATTCTTTGTGAATTTAAGTACACTACATGTAAATGATTAAAAAGTTTATATTACACTACGCCATTTTGTTCCAGCTCTGTTTAATAATCATAGCATTCCCTTGAGTTGATACTTTACCCTCATCTACAATAAACAATTGGAAAAATTTGAGAAAGCTGCTTCTTTTTATTACAATTTATATCATTTCCCTAAGCAAGGAACTCGAGTTTTATATTCAACAACCAAAAAGTCAGTTGAAAACAATGTGTTACCACAAATTTTAAATAAGCTCACGATAAGGGTCCAAGTGCCCAGTTTCAAAAGTTTTCTAGGACTGGTATCAGCTCTGTTGTGGTAAGACTTTTAGAGAATGTTGTCTATCTTACCAAAAATTCTGAAAGCTAAACTTTTTTATGTTTTTTTGTCAAAAGAGTAGTAGTTGACAGCCCTGTAAATGTTATGAAAATGCATCCACTTACTTTCTTGATATTGAAATGCAGGACGTTTGCTAAATATGTTGGTAGTTCTGTTAGCATTGTATAGAATCCCCAGTTCTGACCGAAATGAGTGACGGCCAAAGCCCAAACCCTTGGTGATGTCAGAATTTCTTTCCAAGGAGTCGATCTCTAAAAGTAAATTATTAAAGATTATGAATAATTAGAGTAATCTCTTATTCCTCTGTTTAACGAATTGGAATTCTATAGAAAATAATGATATAAAATATGAAACTGAATATTTTGGAATGAATTATATATCATTAGGATATTTCAAAATTGCATTTAAAATATTGAATTATTTACTAAATTGATTTTATTATGATATATAGATATGATTTTATATTCATGATTGAAAGATTTAATATTATTAGCCATGCTTTTTGAATCATCAGTAAATTGGTGAGTTCAAATCGAATTCGATGTTTATCACATTGCCCACAATATTTTCTTCTTTCCAAATTATAAAAAGAAAAAGATTCATAAATTATTCGAGGGTTGTAAATTAAATAGTGGCAAGTTAACCTTGAAACTCACAAAAGGGAGCGCATGCGTAAATAGGGTATGGGTGCGGTGAGAAGGCGCTGTTGTCGATGTGTAGAGTGCAAAAAACAGTCGATTTGCTTAGAAGGGTAGTTGTTGCGTGGCGTTAAAGTGAGGAGTTTCGTTTCCATCCCTCTAAAGCATGTTGTAAAAAGGCTTAATGACGAAAAAAGACGAGATGCTTGAATCCATCGTGCTACTGTTCTATATGGTAAAGCATTTGCTCCAAAGGCTTCCACTAATCCTCGATAGCATTCTGTTGCATTTTTGCCACGGGNATATAGGAATAAATAAACCGGGCGGGATAAAGTGTATAATCATTTTAATATTTCCATTTCGTCTGCAAGACAAGATTATAATTCTGTTTTTATCCTATAACTCTTATAGTCCCAGAAGTTGAAACTTTATTTTGACTTAGGTCAGATTTGGAAAGATAGAAATAAAAATGTGAATTGCAATTACTATATGCAATGTTAAAGACTCAAGCTTTTAGGTCTAATTTTTGTTTTCTCGAAAGAAAATTTACAATCGTTATCAAGCTATGATGGGTTGGGAATTCTTTCGTTCAGCTATAGACACTCGTAGGGAAGAGGTTTAAGTCTTTTAGATCTTCTGCTGGAAAAAAATTATTATTGGTAGAGATTCAGATTGCATTAGATAATGGAATCCATGTAGTGTTATGTTTTTAAATGCCCTATGGGTTAAAAATAATGCCCTATTTTTAAGTAAATGAATTTTTTTGTGACAAACAATTTACACGAGCTGTTTTCGGGTGAATTTATTTAAAGAAATTAAAGAGTGTAACCTAAATGTGAAAAAATATCCTGTAACATTGATTTTGTAAAAATTTTATGTCAACTCATTGGACTCTTTGTAAAAATTCAAAATTTTGTAAAAAATACATTTCAAAAACGTTTTAACCATTATAAAATATTTTTACAATAACAAATAAGTTTAAAATTAATGAAAAGTATAATAAAGAATAAAAATATGTCAAATGAAATATTTGCAGAGAATATTATAAATGCAGTAGATTAATTGAATTATCCGGCTCTTTACAAACAAACGACACCATTTTATAATGCATTAGGTTAGTTGAAAAAACATCTATTATTTACTATTCCGTTTAACAATTCGTTTGGGCTTATTGGAGTTAGCTGAACAGAAAATGTATCACACATTGTTCAATCTACCTTATTTATTCCATCTAGTTTACAATAAGCACAGAGTAGTGAAGGTTTATAATAAACAGCCTTGTTTCAGGTTTATATAAGTCTAAACCAGTTCAGTTTGATTAAACAATTCTCTTTACAATTCCTGAAGGAATAAGGGCTGATTGTAATAAGCCAAAAAATATCAGAAAATAAATAACTTTTCTAATCAGCCTAGCGCATTGTATAATGACCATAACATTTGAAAATAACCGAATTTTTCAATTAGCTTTCTACCAGTCTCAAATATACTTACTCTTGTTCTTTCAGATTGGCCATCCCGTATGAGGCGTAACTCTTCTTTCGAAATTCTTGGATGATCTTCAGGTGAATCATAAGCAAGGAACACCCAGAAGACGCACCAAATGCATCCAAGAATGCCTGTGTCGTAAAAATAAAAATACATTTTTATTTTTTTAAACATAATATAAAATTGGGGTGGATTTCAATTTAATCGCCAATCACATTAGATTAAATCTAGGGAGAGGACTACTAGAAAATCTCTAGGGAACAAGAATTCTATAAACTTTTCTAGTAACGTTACTGTATTTAACTTAACCTATTAGTGTTAGTTTTACGGGTGATTTCCTTGTATACTTACTAATAAGCATTTAGTAACGTTACACGAAGATTACTTAAATATCTGTTAAAGTTAGAGAACTAGTTTCAAATATGCGAAAAAGAAAAAAAAACTTAGTCAGTTATATTTAATAAGCTAATTCCCGTTTTCAAAAAAGAATGAAATTGTTTAAACTCAACTTGAGTTCAATACACTTATGTTTGAGTTAAATACTTGTTGTGCGTTAAATCTTACTTAGTTGCAGATATTTAAGATGGTATTTGAATTATTTTCGCTCAGGCATGATTTGGTGAGTGACAATTGCTCGTAGAGACTGTTGAAAGTAGATTCTATTTATTTATTATTTAATTATGTGTGAGCTATAAGCTTGAATTTAAATCGTTTGATTTGACTTTCAAAATAAAACGATGTGGATTTCAGGTTGCTATGACGATATGATGGAACAACTTGTCTAAATAAAAGTGTTTGTTGAATATTTAATTTTCACTAGCGATTATGACTTCCAATAAAAAAGAATTAAAAGATCACCTTATTAGAAATGGCATTTCTGAAAAAGACTCTATTTTTCTTCTGGATAAGTAAATTTATTTTGAAAATATTATTATTTAATGTATATTATATTCACTTTATATTTAAATTAGATTTTTCTCAATGTTTTAAAATAAAATGCAAGTCATCTAAATTCTTTTTCAATAGGAATTTAATCAGATTAAAAGTATTAAATGTGGATGCTTGTGGAATATTAAAAAATCAGATTACGTGAGAGAATCTTAGTCAAAGTATGTGATAATATATTAGATCTGAAATTTTTTTTTTGACCTCATATTAAAAAATTAACTTTCAACTGAAATTTTTATATATTGCTTAGTTATATGTGTCTCGATGTTTTTTGATGTATTAATGTATTTTGGTAGAAGATATTTTTTGATAATTGATTTCGTATCATTGAGTAATTTTTTTTTCTCCATAAAAACTATTTTCGAAATAATTTATTGCTCATACAGTATATATTTACTGTTATTCATATTGCCGTCAATAAATAAAGTTGACTGCCTTTAACACTAGGTTTACGGACGTTTCTTGTATACATATCTCTTCAAACACGCGTCAATTTGACACATGAACGAATACATATAACAGCACTTTGCCAACTTGGTCCGGACCGCAAATATAAATTTTAAAGTGATAGTTTATCAATTGTGATTCTTGATTTAATAAATTAAATTTAGTAGATTTTTATCCACCACTGTTTCTAAATAATTCGTAGGCTTATACCATTCACCATTTCATATTTGCAAAATTTTCTTAGTAGTTATTTACCGTTTTTAAAATTATTTTGGCGTGTCCGGAGCAGTTGGCATCTCTGCACTTAGAAAGCAATGTAATTATATTCTATAGGAAAGAAATGAAAGTATGAGATATATATTTATGAAATATTCTAGTATTTAAATTTTCAATACTCGAACTAAGCAACTGAAACCTTCAAAATCGGACACTCTGACATCAATAGACATTCTGCGTTTGTTCTATCTATTATTATTTATCGGCAACAGTTGTTTATCGCTTGTTTCAATTCAGATAACGATATCGGATAAGGGATCGAAGTACTGTAGGTATATTCTCATTTATTATTGATGTGATGTTTGCATGTTTACTCAGAATTTTGTCTAAATTACAATCGCGTCAAATTGACTCATATCCATAGAGATAGGTATACCACAAGAGTATTTCAATGCTTTTTAAGAAAATGGACTTCTATATATATCAATGGATAAAAGTCATTACAAGAGATAAAATAAAAATGCCAGCGGGTTTTGTAATTTTTGTTATAAAATTCGAAATGCGTCAAAATGACCCGTTCCGTAAAACTAGTGTTAATTAATGAAAAATTACATTTGCAAGATTCATCCATTTAAATCTAGTTTATCATTGAAATTGCATTTGAAAGCTGTAAATCAAGGAACTTGTTTAATTTTTCATACATTTATGGTTCCAAATGTATATATATATATAGATAATGCTACAAAGAAATCCTTAGCATTCTAAATCAGCAATGTAGCACACTTATAGATAGATGACAGATGAATGGAGTACTGTATACGTAAGTATTGCTATTTACCATTGATATAAAAGACCCATCTCCATCCAAACTGGGGGCTGCCACTAAGTACACCGGATAAAATAAGAGCCATCACAGTTCCAATTGGACTCCCAGAAAAAATGAGTGTAGCCAATCGGCTTCTTTCGTTTTTCGGTACCCATCGTCCGATCATGACATTCATGGCAGGGAAGGTGACACCCTAAAATAAAAGCCTAATATACTACTTAATTTTTATATTGAAACCATGTAATAAAATCTGAAATTTTATATACAAAAAAGTAACATAAATTAATCTAAACCTCTAAATAACATCAAGTAAAGGAAATTCTCCTTCGAATTTAAATTTGGCCCAAAAAACGGTAAAATATATTTTATGCTATCCATGAACTTTCTATTCTGAGTATAGTTTAAAATGCACGTTTCAGAAATTTTGAATACACTTTTGAAAAATGGACATAGCATAAAATGAGTACTTGAAAAAAATGGACGTTGCTTGAGATGTGCGTTGGAAAAAAAATAGATATGACACAAAATGCCTGATTAAGAAAATGATTTTGCACATTTTGATATGCGTGTATGAAAAAATGGAAATAGCACAAAGATAAAGTAGCTTCACTCTTTTCCTTGCGATCTTTGTGCTACTTTCGATTTTGATTTTCTTCCGCCGATCACATGGTTAAACAGTCTCCTTTTTGTTAACTAGTTTAACCCCTCGAGGACGGGTAATTCAGAAAAGCATTCGTACAAAATCAGAATCAGAATGTAATTAAATTAAAAACGGTAACTTAAATGTAGTCGTTTCTAATTTGACAGACTTACTTTGCTTTTACTTTAATTACTGTTAGTTTAATCATATATATAATCAATGTTAATTCAAAGTATAACTAAATAGTTTTATTTTGAACAAAGTAATGGTGAATTAAATAAATCAAACAATTATAACTCCGTCCACAAATAAACTGCTAAAGAATTACTTTGATTACCAGTTTTATCTTTTTACCTTGGTTGATATGGTTTTATGCTGGCACGTATTTGCGACTGTCGGCGCGAAATGGTTGATGAGCATTTAAAAAAGTTGGCATAACTGAATACGGAAAAGATGAAGAAAAAAAATGCAGTTAATTAAATACACTTGTTTTTTTAAGAATAACGTAGATAAGAGGTCGCCAAAGTGGTCTATATAGACCCCCAGGGGTCTATTTAACAACAGCGGGGGTCGATCTGAATCGGAAGGGTCGATTGTGGGTCGAAAATAAAACAGTTCTCAATACGCAAATCACACACATCTAATTAAGTATGTAAAATTTGTGAATTTTTTTGTAATTCACTCAATATCAGTTTCTTTATAAAACATAAATTAATAAACGTATATTAATTGGGGTGAAACAAGTATTCACGAACCACCGCGCAGTGGCACGAACTCAGCGAAGTTTATAAGGCATATGCATATGTGCGCTTGTCCAAATGTCACATGTGACGAGCATTGACGTTACAAATGCAAATATCATACGCAGTTTCAGCTATCTTTGCAAACTGTGTTGAATATTTGCAGTATCATTATTAAAGCTTTTATAGTTTGGGATAATTAGTTATTGTTTCGATAAAACCATTCGTTTGGTTTAGATATCAATTTTAATTATCAATGCACAAAAAAGAAGGTAAGCATTAATAATAGGGATTAGTACAGCTCGCGACAAAACTATAGAACACTTTGTATTTTTTTACGAAAATTACAAAACTGACCAATTTTGAACCCAATATAGCGAACCTTGCAAAAAAAAAACACCAGGCACACCCATCTCAATGATCAAGAAGCAGTAAATCTTTAGTTACTTTACTTATTCTATCTACTTATGCATAATTACTTATTATTTAATAATAAGGTATTTAAATTTCAATATTAATATATTTTTCATAAAACTATTGTTACACAATGTACTATTACTTTAATAAATGTTTAAAATCATAAAATAAATGTACAAACACAGTATCTAATAGAGTTTTATTTTAATTAACAGAAAATTACTTTTGTGGGGGTCGATGGAGATTTCGAAAAATTATATAGGGGTCGATGATCAAAAAAGTTTGGCGATCCCTGACGTAGATGTAGCGGCATATTTATATTTATATGCCTTTTATTAGAGAATGAAAAAAATCTTTTAACTTCCTCTTCTCATTTAGGTTGATTCAAATTTTGCATGAGTAAAACTGACAGCATTTTTAAAAGATGCAAGCCTAAAAAGCTTCATCATGCTGAAGCAATTAGTACAAGTTTTTTTATTTGTTCAAGCCAAGTAGTATTGCGTATAATTTTTATTCTTATCTCGCCCCGCCCTATTTTAGGGCATACGAGAGTTGATACATACACAAATCATACATTAAAAATACGTGAATCTCTAAAAGTTACATCAACAGTGAATATAAAAATCCGAATATCTAAAATAATGTTCAGTACAATTCTATAAAACAAGTCAAAACCAAATAAAATAATAAAGTAGTAATAAGGTTAAAAAAAAAACAACACAAAATCACCTAAAAACCAATAAATTTTAAAACTTTGCAGGAACATGCAAAACAGTGATAAAATATAGAAGTTAAAATTCGATAAAAAGGTTAAAAGGCAGAACAAGTTAAGAATTAAGACAATCAGTCAAAAGTTGATAAAAACAATGCTTGTTAAATTAAAAATTTAAAAAAACAATACAAGTTAAAACGTAGAGAAGTTTAAAATGAAATTAGATAGAAACACAAGACACCAGCAATAGTGTTCGCAGGCTCCGAGCATAGTTAAATGTGGTTCAGAATGCCCTCCAATGTTACCTTTATAATTTTTTTAACGATGCTTCTACAGACCAACTTAGCAAAGCATTGGTGCAAATTTTGTCCTGCAAAATGGTTTCCACGGAGTGTCTGGAAGTGTGGGCAGTTCATGATCAAGTGTTCGATTGTCTGATTGTCCCCACAGTAGGTACAATTTGGGTTTTTATTGAAAAGTCTATTTTGGTATTCTCCAAACACCCCGTGTCCAGCAAGTAATTGGTTTAGGTAAAAGTTGGCCTGTAGTCGTTTGGTGGAAGGGTCTTCAAAAAAAATATAGGTTTGTCGACCTCTCTCGGAGCTCTGCCATTCTGTTTTCCATCTATTTAGGTTGTTGGACTTGATGATTGTTTTGATCTGGGCCTTGGAACTTGGGACCTCTAAATTGATTTGGCTGAGACTGATGGCTTCCTTGGCTGCCTGATCCGCCTCCTCGTTGCCTAGGATACCAATGTGCGCCCTGACCCAGTTACATGTGATGTTTGGTCTCCATAGTTGTTTAGTATTTTCTGTCTCTTTGTTATTAAGTAGTATTGTGTATAACAAATATATCAAATCTGCTTTAAATTGACTCTGAATTTGTAGTTCCTCTTAACCAAAACAACATTACCAAGGGGGTATGTCCGGTAGCATAATCGTGTGCAGAAGCTCCTCCAATAAAGACTTTTCTCATAAACCAGATCGAAAGCGATTCTAACGGAGTATGTCTTGTCATAGTCTAAAAAGTTAAATAGTCTGTGCACCAAAATGTTAATTCCTTCTTTAAAAAAGATAACACTACAGTTCAATTTCATAAAAAGAATTAAATCTGAATCAGTTAAAAGTTGCGTAAGCATAAATATTTTTAACTCTTAGTTTATAAGGAATTTATTTTTTATTTCATTAATCTCAATAATTATTTCTTTGTCTACAACATAATTATTAAAGTACGGATCTGAAATTTACGTATAACCCCTTTTAAAAGTTAGAGTGGTAGAAAGAAATAACCACATTAAAAAAAAGGTGGTAGAGTCGAGCTACAATATAAGCACTTAATGCATACCTGCCAACTTTCACTCTTTCCGAAAATGGATTTTCAGAGGGGTTGTAAAACAATAAACGAAAAACAATCTGACTCAAAAATATATTTATATTTTGATCACGTTGGAATTCGCTTGAGCAAGGATTATTATGCTTTGATATATTTATTGTAATTATTTATATGTAGTGGTGATCAAACTCATTTATAATTATCATTATAATTCAAAAAGTTAATTGGAATAACCTGGCCATTGCTACCACTTTAAATATGAAAATAAAATCTTCCGGAAAATCCGGAAGAGTTGATAGATATGACTTCATGTAATCTCGTTTAGTACAGTTAAAATATTTGTGAAAAAAATTATGGGTTAAAATTGCTACATGCATACAATATATATTGCTTTCTTATAAATGACGAAAACAAATAATCTTTGCTCAGCTTTCAAATGTTTATAATTAAGATAAAAATATTATCATTATATTACTTTGAATAACCGAAATTTTTGCTGGTTGACTTCTACTGGTAAGTGTTGTCAATCACATAGTAGCTTTGGTAATTATCCGAAATATATACTAGATTTAATTAATTTCCATTATCCGGTATACATTTGCCCGTTATGCCCTACATTAATGTTTTTTACATATACTAGATTTAATTAATATATACTATAAAATATATACTAGATTTAATTAATTTCCATTATCTGGTATACATTTGCCCGTTATGCCCTACATTAATGTTTTTTACATATACTAGATTTAATTAATATATACTATAAAATATATACTAGATTTAATTAATTTCCATTATCCTGTATACATTTGCCCGTTATGCCCTACATTAATGTTTTTTACATATACTAGATTTATTTAACATATACTATAAGATATATACTAGATTTAATTAATTTCCATTATCCGGTATACATTTGCCCGTTATGCCCTACATTAATGTTTTTTAAAGTCAAGTGCCACTGCCCAGTATGCATTGAAATCGTTCTCCGAACACTAATGTATCTCTTAATCTACCCTCAGCAGATATTAAAGTATCGAATAAATATAATAATATCAACAAATAAATTAATATCAAATCGGGTACAACAAATTATTCGGACATTCACCAAAGCGACTATGTGATTGTTGACATTCACCGGTGAAAGTCGACATTCTCTTGATTTTGGTCATGTAACAACTATATGAATATCATAATAAGTAATAGATGTAAAAACATTTAAACAATTATTTTTAATATTAGTAACAACTATTATAAAAGGAACAATTCTTACTTCTCCTAAGCCCATGATGACTCGATTTGCAATTAAGTAGCCAACTCCCCATTCTGCCGATATTGGAGTGAGTAGCGTCATGAAGGAAGTCGCAAATATTCCAATACCAAAGACTATTTTCGTCCCAAATTTTTCTGCCAAGATACCACCGGGAATTTGGGTAACGATATAGCCATAGAAAAATGCACCAAGAATGGTAGCTTGCGCATTAGTGTCCCAGTCAAATTCACCCTATTCGGATGAGAATTCTGTTTAGTGACAATTTTATCTTAATTTTAATTTTTTTTATTATAATAAATTTTTCGAAGTTTTCAATAAAATATTTTTTGTTAAAAAATTATATTTTAATCAAAACGTAAAAAAAAGTGGAAAAAAAACTTACTTTTTAATTGGAAATTAAAATTTTAAAAATCATTAAATTGAAAAAAAATCTAAATCTGATGCACTAAGGTGTGTTCTGGTACAAAACTAAACAAAAAGTTTGAAAATTTGATTTAACATTTTTTGAGTAATGTATCAAAATGGGCAGTTTTTTTCATGAGATTGATTTTACAACTCTTTATAAGTTTAATACTGCCCTACTCATAATAACATATTCATATTATATAATATTTATATGTTGTTGTGGTTGTCGTAGGCAATTAAGACAAGGGGTGCGATTGTTTAGTTTTTCAGTGGCGCCATCTATGGCCGAGAATTCGATTTCTGCCTCACCCGTACGTTCACAGATCGTAAATTTGACCTGAACTAGAGAACAACCACTCTCCAATTCAGTACCTCTGGAGGTATAATTTGTAACAAAGAGGACTTTGTGACACGATAGATTTTACTTGCACCAGTCAACATTTACCACACGGGGAGTTTTTAGCCAGCTTGATTCGAACTCACGTTCTCACAAACGGGAGTCCAGCACCCTGCTGCGCAGGCAATACCAGCCATAATATTTATATAATATTAAAGTATATATAAAAATCAAAAAGTCATCTGAGAAAAAGTGCGTCACTTTTATAATGTTCTAAAAAATTTTCGAAAACAAATAAACTATTTTGTTGAATGGAATGGGCTGAAATTATAAATAACTGAACACAGAGATCATTAGGCAAAGAAAAAAAATTAAAAAGGTTGCAAAAACATTACATTTCTAGCCTAATTTAAGAACTTATCGTTTAACTTATGTAAAATATTTTATAATTATGAAGGGTGGTCCTTAATTATTATCGTTTAAATCCGTCAAAATCTGATAAATCGATATTGAAGATGGCAGACGAAAACAGCAGTTCGACAACATTACGAAACTCTAGCCGTTCCTTACAATTACTTTTCACTTCTCTCAGTTACTTCAAAAAATTAAACCAGTTTTAACATTTTTAATTCCTCCTTCCCCAATTAAGTTTGTGATACTTTGAAAACGTTTTAGACTGTTTCCTGCCTTAATATCAGTTTGAGAATCTTAATGTGAATCCTTTTTCTCTTTACTTTTGACAAGAATTCAGAAAGTATCTATTAAGTGCGGTGATTACGGAACTTCCAGTCTAATTTAATCAACAATCTCCTTTTTTACCACGTTTATATAATTTTGCCTTCATGTATGTCTGTCCGGGTGGAATTTTGTAATCGATTTTAAACTAACTTCCCGACTAGCTACAAACTTCAAATTTGGCACATAGTTCAGAATTGGATGACAATGCATGAAAATGAAGAGAAAAAAGACATACAAAGTAAAATAAAATTAAAAAAAAAATTATTTTCGAGATTGTCTTTTGTTGTCGATTCCATTATTTCAAATTAGTATTACATGTCAGGTGAAAAGATTTTTATTGTCGGAGTATTTGTATTGGCTGAAAAATCACGTGGTAAGATCCAGTTTTTCCTCATTCATTTCCAGATTGTTTTGGTTATCATCAGCATAAAACTAATGAAAGTTGTAAAGGTATTGTTTTTCTATAAAGATTTTTGTATCCCTAATTTAAATTGAAAGTTCTATTATTTTAGTAGTGGTCTTGTAGCAGTCTTGACTACTCTTGACTAAGAAGAATAATCTAAATAAAAATATATATTTTTAAAAACCACGTTTTTTGTAGTGAAGAATAATAATTGAAAAGTAATAATTTTTAAAAAATTTAAAATAAAAATTAAAGTTTAAAAAAATTATAATTCAAGATAAAAAAATTCATAATAAAAAATAATATTTTTAAAAACCATGTTTTTGTAGTGGAGTATAATAATTTAAAAAAAATTGAAAAACGAAAAACGTGGGGCGCATGAAATACATAACAATACATATACACATACATATACACAGTTTCTTACTCATACACATGCACAGCCACATATACATCCATATGCGTATGCATATACACAAACATATTCCACATCCACATTCAGATACAATTACAATTACAGATATACATACACATATTCTCAAGAGCACACATACACACACTAATATAACATTACTGCTATGTATTTCATGCGCCCCACGTTTTTCGTTTTTCAAATTTTTTTAAAATTATTATTCTCAACTACAAAAACGTGGTTTTTAAAAATATTATATTTTATTTTGAATTTTTTTAAAGTAAGAAGAAGTTGAAATTATAAAACATTTACAAGTCACTGTTTTGAAATATTTTTAATGTCCTAAGATTCTACTACTATAATGTTATATGAAAGACCACAGAAAAACGAAGCTAAAATGAAGGTTAGAAAAAAGTATGAACTTACGCTGCCTGATACATCATGTATCACAGTATTATTCACCACATGTCGAGTGATGAGTTCCTCACAAACAACAGAAGAATGATCACTCTGTTGTGGATTGACAGTCATCACCATTGCAACTAATGCAACGCTGAGATTCACCCTCATTGCGTACACATTTACGAACCCGAAACATCCTAGAATTGCAAATACGTAGCGAGTGGGAAACCAACCTGAAAAAAAATTATATCATTTTAAAAATTAGCCTTAATTAGCATTTTTTTATTTAATTGACAGAGAGTAAAGCGATTGCAATTGTCGAGGGATTGTAGAACAAGCATACGGACTAGAAATTGCTTTGAAACACATGGCCGGGAATGTCATCTGAAGCCACAAAGGGAATTCTATAATACGGACTTGCTGTTCATGCACATTTAGAGAAACAGGAGAAAGTGAGGCAAGACCGGGTACCTAAAGATTTGAAGGTTTGTTGGAACTAGCTAAGATTGGAAGTCTGTTAGAACTGTTCAAGCTAAAAACTGCCAGATTTAATTAAGTTATTCACTGTTAAGCTAGATACTATCTATCAGTCGTGATGCATTTCTTATTAATAAAGGAATTTTTCAACTAAAAATTTGTATAAAATTCATAAACTTTTAAATTTGCAGAAAATTTAGAAATACTAGAATTTCAGTGAAGAAGAATAACACAATTCTCTAATATATGACAATTTAAGAATATTATTCATGTAATCTATACTTGATGCAGTCAAAACTGCTCTTAATGAGGAAAGAGTGAGGATCAATTGTCCCGGGACCTATTACTGCTAAGAGCCCAACCTAAATTCCTTACAAAAATATAGTTATTATTACATAGTTTTTTTTAAAGAAAATTATCCAAAGAACCCTATGTACCCCCCTACTTTTATTTATATAACCAAGCTAAAATTTATGTTAAATCCTGATTTCTAATAATTATTGACCAAAATTGCGTACAAAATAGGATCAGTAATTGCTGATTTAGCGTATTTTGATGATTTGGCTATCCACTTAGTGAGTGCGTTAAGTTAGCCGTAAATCTATAAACGTCGACAAAACAATTATTTCTTGGAAAAAATTTTAATGCTATTTACGACAGTAATTAATAGAAGATATTAAATTTAGATGAAAACATAAAATTTAGATGGTTGTACAATTTATCTGCCAATCTTATGCTGACGCAGAATGCTTCGTCATTGACTATCAGGAAGTGGTCGAAATTAAACGAGAGATAATGCAAGATCGGAAGCAAGCCGGCTAACTAAGTACAAACAGCCAATCCAAATTATTTTAACTTATATGTTATTTAAATGTTTTCTAATATGTAATTATTTGTCACAACTTGCACTTGCATAGGCTCCGAAATAATAGTTTACAGAGATGTCAACTTGCTTCACTTCGTAAAAAAGAATTTTCTAGTGATACCGAAATTTAAGTTATTTTTTTGCTTAGTATTTTTCCCTTACTACATATCAAAAATTCAAAGTACCGAATGAAATGTAACTTTATTGTAGTTATATCGTGGTAACAGTTTTAAAAAGTAAGCGAAATTATTCTTATTACGCATGTTTTACTCTTTAATTCGCTAACAATTTATTTAAAGTTTTGCAGAAATCGGAGCAGTCGGCATACCTGTGTTTATATCGTAATTTACAGATTTGTCAACACATTTGGCGACATCTGTTATTTGTCCGGTTTGCCGGGACGCCACAGCACTTAAAAAATCCCGTATTTTAGTATTTTTTGATTGTGCAAACAAAATATAGATTAACTTTAGAATTGGAATTGGATTGTATGTTAATTGCAAATGGCACGAGAACCAATCTCAGTAATTATTAATTAGTTGTTATACAATTTGGACCAGAAAATTGCAAATAATCGTGCTAAAATAATTCATCATATTTTAATAGACATAAATAAGATTATAAAAATAACAGCATCCATTTGAATTTTATTTTCTTGTAACTAAAACACTTGTTTGAAAAAATTACTATATAAACATCCTTTGTTTTAAGGGAATGGATTCGAATGTAGTTTATAAAAAAAAACTCATTTGACGTATTACCTAAAATTAGGTTGAATTTCCAGAACACTTTTTTGATGGGAAGTTTGTGTGCGATTTTCACAATAACACCCACTGTAGAGAATTAGCTGTAATTTTGAACTTATGCACTTATAAATAAACGAATTTATAAAGTCTGTGCTTATAACTACAAATAAAATTGATGAGCAATGATCAAATTAATTAACGCATAACGCAAAATATGTTGCATCTCTTCTTGACCTTACGCAGTCTTTACTGTGAACCACAATAATGTTAACAAAGACCTTCATTATTATTTTTGCTTATTTTTCTTAACGACGGTTATAATATAAAATAACGACGGTTATAATATTAAATAACGATGGTTCAACGATCGTTATAATATAAAATAAAATCAGAAATAGGAAAATAACTTCCAATCGACATTTAAAAAGAAGTATTAAGAGAAGGTTTAAAATTTGACTGTAGTACAAAAGCATCCTTTTTCTTAAATGACAGTTCATTCTTCGATTTAAGCCAACATTAATCTTATAAAGCACTTATCAGTTTAAATTTAATTCGCTGGAAGAAAAGATTAACCAAAATCCATGTGAAAGTCTTCGTAACTTACTATATTTTATAAAATTTTTCACTGGCAAAATTCTAATTAATATTACTTTATAAGAAATGAAAACAAATACTCTCCAATATACACTGTTCCAAATGATTAAAGGAGGTTGTGAAAGCAAACTTACCTTTTGTAGGATTTATTGGAAATTCTATAAAGCAAAGCTTAAATAAGAAAAACATGAATGCTTATAAATGCATTATTCTATTTTTATGCAGTAATTACCTTTAAATTCACAGTCGAACTGGATTGGTGCGAAGGTTTCCATTTTATGACAGTTCTAACTTAAATAAAGTAGTCTTTTTTTTCATATCATCATTTTTAATTTCGTAAAATTCGAATCTTTATCTACCGGATGTCATGCATCATTTATAAAATTGCTTTCTATCCAATTATGTCTCAACAGTTTATAAAATAAGTCATTGAGTACTTGCTAGTAGTTTAGAATACATTTATACATAAATCCCTAAGACTTTAAAGTTAGAAAACATTATTAAATTAACGTATTCCTGCATTCAATACGATCAAGATGTAGATAATAATTCATAAAATACTATTTCTGCCGAAGTGCTCATTGTTTTACATTACTCACGAAGAATATATATATATAATAAATAAATAAATACAAGAAAATACTAAGAAAGTTAAGAAAAACAATAAGTTTCATTTATTGCGCTTAAGCTGCAAGTAAACAGCACTCATTAGATAAGTTCAAAATGAAGAATAAAGCAAAGNCACATTGATATGAAAAAAAGGGGGTGGGAAATAATAAGTAAAAAAATAACAAACAACATTTTATTCAAAAAAAAAAATGATATGTTAATTAAAAAGCCGGAAAAAAAAAGATATAATATTTTCTTCAGCCCATAGGATTATATCCGCAAAACAGAGTGCTTTCTGATATTGTATCAATAAAGCCAAAGCAAAATATATTAATACAATAGTGGGAGGAGCACTCAAAAATTTTTTTATATAAAATAACTACAAAAAAATAGATCATAAAAAGTAAAAATAACATGTAAAAACAGATAATAAAATAAAAAGTTGTTATGATTTTGCTACTCGCTTTATAGTCCCCCCTTTTTAATGTTTTTTTCTTTTTATTTTATTTTATTATCTGTTTTTACATGTTATTTTTACTTTTTATGATCTATTTACCGCACATAGGACCTATGACGTCAGCCCCAACTAATCCTTGTCAGTAAAATGGCATATTAAAGTTGATCTATAATTCTCTACATAAGTTAGAATGTTAATTAACGATAAATTTATTAAATACAGAGCCTTATCGTACATCGAATTAGAAGAAATATAATTCTTTCTCGTCTACTTATTTTTCTTAACTTAGATTTATTATTTGTTCAGGTATTTTATCGTAACCGTGATATATTTTTGTTTTTTGTACCTAGCAACTTTGATGCTTAATTAACTTGTTTATGTTCCACGGGACTTTGTGCCTGTCTTTAGTTTTAGTCTCTGTGTAAATACATAGTGAGGAAATGAAATCTTTGCGAAAACATCTCTAAGAAAGAAGTTAGAATTCGTCATATAAGAGAATTGATATTTGGAAATAGTGAACCAAGAACCGTAAGAACAGTTGCTAATGTAAACAAATGCCACGTTTCAACAACCAATTAGAATCTAGTTACCCACACTATGTCACTCGCAGACAACCCATTACAATTCTAATTTAAATGCAAAACATTTTATAACATACGAATAAAAAAATTTTATAAACATCGATATGTTTACAAAATAGTAATAAAAAAATGGAGTACCATTCTGCATTACTTAAAACATGAATATAATATAAATTTAATAAAAATCTCATCTAAGCAAACTTGTAGTTTTGTTTATTCGAAAAGAACATAATTACACTAAAATTAGCTTTTTCATTTCAATAAAATTTCTCTATTTTAAACAGGTTTAAAAATTGCTAGTGCTGATTTATAGTGAGGTAAAAAAAAATTTCCTGTAGAGTCGCGTTCTCGCGTAGAGTTCTGTAGAGTCGCGTGTAGCAGTCACGTTCTCGAAGAAAGGCACAACAAGTTCAAATTAATTTGTGTGATTTTTAATCCTTAAATAACACTGGGGAACAAATGTTTCGTTTCATTTATGCCAATACTTTGTCTTGCTGAAATCAGGTGATGGGATTCTGAATCTGAAATTAGTTTTGCTCCTAAGGGATCTAATCTCTTAATGACAATTTTTTGCCCTGTTATATACTACGTTTTTAACACGTTGAATGGCACGGTAATTTTACAGGGCATGGCAGTCTGGCCAAACAGTATATAACTACAAACTATATTTGCAAATATTATACAGATTTTTTCAGACATTTGAATGATTTAGCACGACTTAACTGGAAAGAAAAAAGTGGTGAATTATATAAACCTCTTAATTGTTTAGAAATAGTGGTGGATAAAAATCTACTAAATTGAATATGTTAAACCAAAAATCACAATTGATAAAGTACAACTTGAAAATATTTATTCGCTGTATGGTGCAAGTTCGCATCTCTGTGTATATAAACAAAACTATTTTTGTGTATTCTATATTGCATTAATTTCTTCAAACCATTTTAGTAACGATAATAATATTAAAAAATTAAAAATTTACTCGAATTTTGTGTTTCTAATAATCTTGACTTAGCCGGTCACCGGTGACCCCCGTGGTGCTACGAACAAACTCAGTGCCCGTCACGGGTAACCCCCCGTGGTATTCAACGTGTTAGCAGTTTAAAAACGTTATATATAACAGAAATTGCTTAAATGTTGCAATATACTTCTAGGAGAGTTATGGCATATAATCAGGATTAAAATTGCGTAAGAACCTATTCCCGAGAAAGTCGTCGTTCGCGGCTAGGGATGCGTCCCTACAATGACCTGTTTAGAAGAAATGATTCATAAAATGAATGCGTTCTTGACTTTATTTTAGGGCAGGGATGGCGAACCGATATCACGCGTGCCATTTATGGTACGTCACACAATATTTTGGGCACGCCACCGATCACAAAGTTCACTATGAAGCATATTAACAATTAAATTAAAATTCACAAAAAAATTAACAATTAATGCCAAGAAAGCAATTAATAACCATAAAAAACACGCTAACAATAACTGGCAAAAAAAAATTAACAGTTCTGCCTAAACTAACATCTTATAACACTAATATAAGTTACTTGTCATCTAATCTGCAACAACAGAAGTTACACTGTTACTTTAGGTTGAATTACGCTTATAACTGAGACATTGCAAAATGTATTTTTTTTTCGTAGTAAATAAAGAGTTTTGAGTTGATAGTATTTAGTATTATTATTTACCCAATAATNTCAATTAAAAATGAAAATTGTTGCCAGCGCGAGAAAAGAAACATCATCGGTTTTATTGATACATACATACATACGTACGTATTAGCGTTTTATATAATATAGATAAAATTTCTCTATTTTAAACAGGTTTAAAAATTGCTCGTGCTGAGGTAAAAAAAAAAAAAATTCCTGTAGAGTTGAAAGCAGTCACGTTCTCGAAGAAAGACACATCAAGTTGTGCGATTTTTAATTTTTAAATAACACTGGGGAACAAATGTTTCGTTTTATTTATGCCAATACTTTGTCTTGCTGAAATCATGCGATGGGATTCCGAATCTGAAATTAGTTTTGCTCCTAAGGGATCTAATCTCTTAATAACAATTTTTTGCCCTGTTATATATAACGTTTTTAACACGTTGAATGGCGATTTGCAAATATTATACAGAATTTTCTAGTTTTTTGAGTGATTTTGCATGACTTATCTGAAAAATGGCGGTGAAATATATAAACCTATGAATTGCTTAGAAATAGTGGTGGATAAAAATCTTCTAAATTGAATATATTAAACCAAAAATTACAATTGATAAACTACCACTTGAAAATATTTATTCGTTGTCTGGTGCAAGTTCGCATCGCTGTGTAAATAAACAAAACTATTTTTGTGTGTTCTATATTTCATTAATTTTTTCAAACCATTTTAGTAACGATAATATTAAAAAAGTAAAAATTTACTCGAATTTTGTGTTTCTAATAATCTTGACTTAGCCGGTCACCGGTGACCCCCGTGGTGCTACGAACAAACTCAGTGCCAGTCACGGGTAACCCCCGTGGCATTCAACGTGTTAACAGTTTCAAAACGTTATGTATAACAGGGATTGCTTAAATGTTGCAATATACTTCTAGGAGAGTTATGGCATATTATCAGGAGTAAAATTGCATAAGAACCTATTCCCGAGAATGTCGTCGTTCGCGGCTAGGGATGCGCCCTGTTTAGAAGAAATGATTCATAAAATGAATGCGTTCATGACGATATTTTAGGGCATGGGTTCCAACGTCCCAAATTCTCCTAAAAGATTGTCGTAACATTTATCCGACTCCCTGTTATATATAAAGTTTTTAAACTTACACATTTCGCCAAAAAATTTTTTAAAAGTCATTTAAATAATGACTTGTTGTAAAGAGAAAGCGATTAAAGATTTGAAATTAGGGATATGAAACTATCAAAAATTTGTTAAAACGTTGTCGAAAAAAAGATTGATGTTTTGTATTTTTCTACATACACAGAATAAAGAAAATTTGTCTGTGAGTTGAACTTTCATTAAGAATCAGTTACCGTTTCACGTTTACAGTGTATATGTCATCTGTCAAGGATGAATGACGATACGAAGCACCTGCGCGAATACGTAAAGATTCATACATTCATATATCAAACAGAAAAAAAAAGATAAAATATCAGTTTTTTCAATTGATAAAAATATGATAAAGTAAAAATATTTTATTTGTAGTTATTTAAACTCGTGACTAGGCTATTACAAATTGAAAATCTACCACACTCGTGAATTTTGATCAAAAAAACAAAAAAACAGATGAAGGTATTATGTTCAAATTCTTCATTAATCGAATTCTTCTCTAATCTCCAGTACAAGTATTTTAGATAGCATCAAATTTACAAACTTTATATCCCACTTTTTTAAGATTTACGATGTAAATGCCTGTATTTCAGGTTGAGGAAATAACTCGTTAAAAAAAAGCAATAACATATTATTTCAGTTCACTTTATTGTTTGTGCCATTTCGCCCATTAGAACAAAAATTGTTCAGACTAATATTTTTTTTCACTCACTGCGCAAATATTGTAAGACATAGAAAAATATCATTTATTTATTTTTTCATCATATCTTGTGGGCTTATTGTGATAAATGTAGTAAATCTCTTGTGAGCTTATTTTTTATTACTGTTAATTAAAAGAAAGTCTGCAATTTTTATGTAAAATAATTGTTATGAAAAATTAGAAAAGTTAATGAAATAATAAAGATATCTAAAAAATATTTTTTACGTGAAAAATTATTTATATCAAATTAATCATCATTTATGAGGATAAAATATTTGACAAGCTAATAATAATGTTGTTATTACCTATTTTATTTATTACGCGTCTTAATTTATTCTTATCTTTCTATCTTTAATGGAGCAAGCAGCTCGATAAAATGTCAACGAAATGAAAATATACTATCGTTATCAGAACAATAAGTAAAGTATTTTGATTTATATTTATTTCTTTATGCCATGTGATAGATACAAAGTGGTAGGACTTTTTAGCATTTTTTTCAATTAAACGTACAGTACGCAAAATAAAAAAAACGGACTACCCTGAATAACTTTTGGTCTAATGATCGGATTTTCACGATCTAGAACGCATTATTAATGGTTCGTGGAAGTGACTTCAACTATGTTAATTATTAAGTGCAAGCGATATTTATATTTAAATTTTCATACAAAATGAAGCGGATATTTTTTCTGATAGTCATTACTTCAAACCTTTTCAAACAAAGTTATTTTATATCAAAATATAACCATTTTAATATTTACTTTGACCAAAAAATAATATTTCTTAGTACTTATAGTTAATTATATCTAATGTACTGATGACATAACACTTTTTTTCCACAACTAGATATTAACATTTCAAAGAAGTACTTTAATGTAGATCCGCTAAATAAAGGGTTCATTTTCCCTAAATGTGCTGAATCATTCTAATTTGATCCATAAAGTTTGCATAAATTATAAAAATATTTTATGAGGTTTACTTTGAAAAGATTTGTATTTTCAAGCCAAATAATTTATAACAGTAGTTTCAACGGTTTCTTTCATTATATTTAAATTCATTCATTTCAAACTAATAAAGTAGTAAACTGATAAAGTAGTAAATGTACTACCAATTCATTCAACTTTACTATGAAACTAATTTGGTAAACAAAAATTTAATTCACTAAACTGGAAAAATTCATCAAATGAATCTTACTTTTTTAAATATACAAATTAATGAAGAACAATTAATTGTAAAACAAAGAATAAATCTAAGTAATCATTAAATAAAAACAAAAGTTACCTTGAACTAGGTAATTGAATTCTGCATCTAAAATTACAGTTCAAAACAAATATGCATTAGTATAAGAATAAAATTGTTATTGCTTATTCACAATTTTTTTCTATTACCAATCTAGATTAGATATTTAAGAAAATGCATTTAAAATTTGTTAAAAAAAATTATTTTTAAAGCATAACACCAAATGCTTCAGTCATTATTTGTTTACCTCTCGAAATAATGCTTTAATAAAGCGCTGTAGTAGGTAACCCTGTTTACTTTTAAATTTTGTTTAAGAATTTTAACATCTTCATAACGGGCGAGTTACGAATGCCGTCTCACAGAGTAAGAAAAAGGAAACGGCACTTTATTCCAGCATTCTTCGATTGAGCTTACAAAAATAACAGAATTTCTTCGCTGACAAAAATAACAGAATTTCTGCAAGTTTTAGTTTTTAACACGTTGAATGCCACGCTAATTTTACATGTCTTGCCGGTCACCGTTGACCCCCATGGCATTCAACGTGTTAAAGATCGATCAATTTTTATAAACTTTTGCGGAAAGCAGAGCAAATTATATTTCTACAGTCTTATAATTCTGTGGAAAATCTTTTATTTACCTTCAAATTTTTTCTAGGAATGCAGCAAAACAGACCGAAAGTTAAACTAACATTTACTCTTTCCGGAAGAGCGAATTTCGATTGAAAAGTTAAGTCCGGTAGGACATCAGCTACTGCTGTAAAAAGTATGAAAGATCTTGAATGATCCGATTTGAAAATTATGATTCAACTGCGATCTATAAGAGAAGGTAAATAATTTTATTTAATAATCATTTTATTAAATAAAATTTAAAATTAAGTTATATTGTTGTAACAAATTTGGTGGGTTCATAACCATCTATATATATATTTCACTTACACGGCGACAAAAAAAAGCCTCACTTACAACTCCCCGAATGGCAACGCTAGAAAATCGACCAATGATTGCTGCTAAAAATGTCTTTCATTATAACTTAC